CCACGCCCCCAAATTCTCAAATTTCCAAATCCCAACATTCCCCAATTCCCACGCCCCCAAATTTCTATATTTCCAAATCCCTACATTCCCCAATTCCCACACCCCCAAATTCCAACCCCCAATTCTCAAATTCTAAACTCCCCAAACTCACCACCGAAAATTTCAAGCTTAATTAAAAAATAAAAGTTCCATCCCCCTATCAATCCCCCACCTCTCCAAATCTCCCTTCCTTTACAAAGTCAATATCCAACACCTCCTTTACGAAACGCCCTTTATCAAACATCCTCATACAAAATGCACAGGGGTCATAAATAAAAATCCCTTGACCAGTAAAACTGATTCGCTCCGATACCATTAACCCCCATTGCAGAGAAAATTCGGGAGAAGTGAAATAGAACCGTACGAAAGGAGCTCAGCGTTGAAGTAGCCGGCGATCAAACGTTGCAGAGATCGATGAAGCGTTTTCTATCGGTTCGAGATTCGATCGTCGAACCACGCGGGAAACCGTCGACATCCAGAGGAGGATGCCCGCTGGGCCGCCCAGTGGGTGGCACTTTGCGAACGGGGTTACTTGAACCGGGGAGAGGAAGTTATCCGGATTGACGCGTATAATAAATCACCGGGGCGAGAGCACTTGATCCAGATGGATCTCGTTTTTCTTGTGGCCGACATTAACGACAGGGCTTGACCGGGGAAACACCTTGCCGAGGATAGTCGATTTGCAGTTCATCAATTACAAATTGCACTACTAGCGTGTTTGTCGGGTCTCTAATTAAACATCGATTACGGATTAAATTGGCTTAATATGAACAAGCTGGATTTAGGAGATGGGGGAAGATTTTGGAGGCTGACATATTTTTGGGGCTACTACATGCCTGAGTGTAGGGGTGTACAAAGGTGGATTTAGGGATGAGGGAAGATTTTGGAAGCTGACATACTTCTTTATGGTACTTCATATCTGGGTGCGAAGTTGTAGATTACAGAGGTGGATTTGGGAGGCGAGGATTTTGGGAAGAGTATGACGTATTTTCTTGTATTAGGTGTGAAGTTGTGAATGTACAAATTGGTATATTTTTAGGTTGATAAATTTTCAATTCTCAAATTTTTGAATTAGTATATTCAAATAGTAATATTTTGAAATATTAAAAGCCATAGTTTTGAAACTCTCAAATTCGTATGCCCTTAGTTCTCAAATAGAGACATTCCTACGTACAATTCCTATATTTCCAAATTCCTCATATTTCCTAATTCTCACACCCCCAAATTCTCAAATTTCCAAATCTCTACTTTCCCCAATTTCCACGCCCCCAAATTCTCAAGTTTCCGAATCCCAACATTCCCTAATTCCCACGCCCCAAATTTCTAAATTTCCAAATTTCCACATCCCCTAATTCTCACGCCCCAAATTTCTAAATTTCCAAATCCCTACGTCCCCCAATTCCCACGCCCCCAAATTTCTAAATTTCCAAATCCCTACGTCCCCCAATTCCCACGCCCCCAAATTTCTAAATTTCCAAATCCCTACGTCCCCCAATTCCCACGCCCCCAAATTTCTAAATTTACAAATTCTGAAGTTTCCGAATCCCAACATTCCCCAATTCCCACGCCCCCAAATTTCTAAATTTCCAAATCCCAACATTCCCTAATTCCCACACCCCCAAATTCTCAAATTTCCAAATCCCTACATTCCCCAATTCCCACGCCCCCAAATTTCTAAATTTCCAAATCCCAACATTCCCCAATTCTCACGCCCCCAAATTCTCAAGTTTCCGAATCCCAACATTCCCCAATTTCCACGCCCCCAAATTCTCAAGTTTCCGAATCCCAACATTCCCTAATTCCCACGCCCCAAATTTCTAAATTTCCAAATTTCCACATCCCCTAATTCTCACGCCCCAAATTTCTAAATTTCCAAATCCCTACGTCCCCCAATTCCCACGCCCCCAAATTTCTAAATTTCCAAATCCCAACATTCCCCAATTCCCACACCCCCAAATTCTCAAATTTCCAAATCCCTACATTCCCCAACTCCCACACACCCAACTCCTAACTCCCGAATCCTAAAATTCCCAAATCCCTAAATCTCCAATTCTCAAATCCCAAAATTCCTAAACCCCCAACCCTAAAATTTCCAAGCTCCTAAATTCCCAACTCCCAACTCCCCAACCCTAAAATTCCAACTCTCAAATCTCCCCACCCCACTTTCCAAATTCCCAAATCTTGAGTGTCGAAAGAACAACAAAAAGCAAGTAAACCCAAATAAGCACCATCAAAGGGTGAAGAGTCGGAAGCGAGTAAAAAGTTTGCAAAATGCTTGTAAATGGTT